ACATTTACGTCAAATTATTAATAAAATTCAATACAAATTAAAAATAAAAATAAAAAATCGTATTCATAAAAAAAATTTAACAAACCTTGTTTGTAATGATTCATGACTAGAGTCCACTAACATTGTAGTACTTGTGTTATTGCAATGAGTGCAACTATAATCTTTCTAGGCAAAAAAATAAAAAAAAAATAAAAAATGAAATTGAAAATGCATGCTAATGAGAAGCCGAACAAATTAAAAAAATTTGATTTGGGGTTACCAGAAATGTATCTTTTATTCGGTAGTTGGTTACCATACTTATATTTTTTGTTCGGTAATAAGATGTCGGACGACTTTATTTTGTTCGATTTCAAACCGTCGAACGAAAGGCGAACACCAGTCTAGAAAAACGAAACAAAAAACCTACCAAATAAATAGAAAAACTCACCACTTCACTTTTTTGATGATTCTTCACCATCGTTTATTCATCTATTACTTTCTTTAATGATCAAAATACTATGATTCTTACTTTTTGAAAAGAGATGTGTAAGAAAAAAGAAAAATTAAGAAAGAAAAAAGAGGAGTAGAGATTGAAGACCAAGGGGTGTAAGGAGATAACAAAATATATTTAATTTTAATATTTTGTCTTTAAAGGTAATTTCACACATGGATAAAATTAGGAAGGAAAAAAAACACTCATATAAAGGGTATAAAGAGGTAAAATAGTGGTGTTGTCACACCCCAAACCTGCCCCTAAAAGCTTGGGCATGACCACTACGGAAACGGACACTTAACTCATTGTACATAGGATATGGAGCCTGACCGGAAGCATTAATATCAAACATAAACATAAAATAATATCCATTGAGCTATCACTATTATGCCAGGATCACAGATATGTATAAGGTAAATGAACATACCGCGACATGCATCAAAGAACTTAACTATGTACATACATATATACAGGCCTTGCCCTTAAGATTGGGCGTATAACAAAACATTGAAGGGTAAAAAAATTATACACATTTCAAGCATAGACAGACAATCAGGGTACAAAACCAAAAGTTTAGCAAACTTCATAAAATGAGCTGCCTTCGTTTTGGTGTCTGGACACTCTGGAGTTAACCAAAGAGGAATGGATGCTATGGGTTAAGACTGACCTCCAGGGGGGCCGCCTACAAAAACAAACATAACATAAAGTGAGCCGAGCTCAGTGAATAGTAATACGTAAACCATTTAACAATTAACTTGTATTACAATGTACATGTGTAAGTGCAGAGAACGTATAGTTAACTTATCCTGTAATTATTTTCAGCATGGCCTTAGGTCTAAACTTTAAACAGAATGGTTTCAAGCCCTTGAACAGAGTGGCATAAAGCCCTTCACATAATGGCATAAAGCCCTTAACAGAACGGCATAAAGCCCTTGTCAGAACGGCATAAAGCCCTTGTCTTGCATGTATGAACTCAAGATGTGGCTTGCACGGATTCTAGAGGTGACTCGCATTGCAACACTTAGTTCCGTGCAGCACTTTGTTTCATACGAAGAAATCATACAGAATGGCCATAGGCTTATATATTAACAGATTGGCCATAGGCCTCATAACTTTCACATATGTATGGACTCAAAAGGTGGCTCGTACAGATTTTAGAGGTAACTCACACTGCAGTACTTAGTTCCGTACAGCACTTTGTTCCATACCAGAAATTAATAGGTCTTAAGAACAGAACATTTCACATCTTGTTATGGCATAAACATATCGATTAAACAGAACAGAATATTTCCAGGTTCATAAGAATATACTTCCATAATAGTGTACTTTATACCCCATGGTTTCTTACACATTAACATAATTATCTTATGCGTATCAAAACATTAACAACACCCATCGACAGAAGTCATATGTGTCAATACTGTATGATCAGTAGGGACAAAATAATTCACCTTATAACGGGAGTCACATGATACAGGTATTGATTTCCAGTTCCTTTCTCAGTAGTCATTAACGTATAAAACGACTTGTAGCTTTATTTTTGTATTTCCGATGAACATATTAGGCAAACAGCTATAACATAAGGCATAAGGCGTGCATGCTAACATACAGACTATAGAAGTCCCTGATAGGACCTTCAGAACCTCATATTTCCGATGAGCGGGGTTTACATTCTTAATTCTTTTCCAAACAACATAGCGTTACCGTAATCACTTGCAAAGAACAGAGTGTTAACAATAAGAATCATTAACGGTACTAAACGTATAATTACAGTACTACTACTCACAGTGTTGTAGCGGAGAATATAATTCCTCCCAGAGTGTGTCCTGCACACATACACATCTCACAAGTTAGTCCAATTCTTTTCTAACTTCACATTTCATTCGATAACTTCCAGTAAATTAAAAAGCATTTTAAAGCTTTCAAATACTATTTTTAATCATCCCAAAGGGTCAAACAGATCAAACGGAGCTGACAACATTTTTCAGCATGGGCTGTACGTGCGGCTGTGAGCCCCGCACGTGCGGTAACCTCTCCCGCACGTGCAGCAAAATCCTCCCGCACGTGCTTTTTAGACAGAACCAAAACTCCAAATTTCCCATTTTCCCGCACGTGCGGCCATGACTCCCGCATGTGCGGTGATTGGTCTCGCATGTGCGGCCATAACCCCCGCATGTGCGGCGATTGGTCTCGCATGTGCGGCCATGACCCCCGCATGTGCGGCGATTCTGCATCATTTCTGTCCGAAATTTCCAACAAAACCCAATTTTGGTGAACATCAACAAAACCTAAAATAGATCATTTAATTACCAAAATATAACCCAAAGATCATATAATTAGAAGGCACAACATGTAACAATTTAGATGAATTAGAGTTTTAATCCACACTCAAAAACTTAATTCAATTCTCTTTAACTTATAACACCTCTCATGTAAAATTAGGCAAGTTCCCTATGAGAAATCAAGTAAGAAAAGATAGTTTTTCTATCTATACACAACCAACTTCATTCTACATCACTTAAGTGACAACATATAACCAAAGTTAAGCATAATCATACACCAAGTTAATTCCATATCCTAGGTTACATAATTGTGAACTCAAATTATAGGGAGGAGGCATAGAAAATGAGTGAACTTACTCTTTGACTTTAACTCTTGCAAACCCCCTTCAATTCTCTAGCCTTTGATGCTCGGTAAAATCCTTCCCTAGATCCTTTCTCTCTATTTCACACTACCCTCTCATAAGAGATATGGTTAGACAAAGTTCTTGAATTAAACATATATGGAACTCAAGCATATATGTATATCTAAAGACACATAAAGACAAAATTCAATCGTTTAATCGTTCCAAATTGAAATTTCACAGAAAATCTCATTATAACTTAAAAATCATACTGATTTAAAATGTCAAATCAATTTCGGATTATCAAGCCTTTAAGGCTCCCAATTCCTGATTCAAACATTTTAGTTGTGACAGATAATTTTCTTATCAAACAGGTAGGAATCCATATTGTCAAAATTCACTTAATTAATCACAATAAGCATTCAAAAACACAAAATAAAGGACGGAAAAGATACCAAAATCATGTACGAGGGTCGGGTTATTACAGGTATAAGTAGAATTACTCGAACAATAATTAATAATTAAATTACTAAGTTTGTGTACTGAGAAATGATGTACACTGAGGTAAGTAGGTGTGTGGAAATAGAATTTCCCTTTAGTCATCCCTTTTGTCTTATGAACCAAAAAATCCCATTAAAATGGAAATTACCCAAAAGGATAGCTACCTATATTTTTTGGTTTAATTTTTCAAGGATAAAAATTGATTTATTCAAATGTAAAATTACACATTTGGACAATTCGCACTATTAAAGTTTTGGATTTTTTTATCATTCTCGAACAAATCCCACATTACAAACAAACACGTAACACTCTAGTGTAATACTTAAGTAACGTAACACTTCATTATAACACATTAAAAATTTTCTTAGTGTACTTTTCACAAAATAACAATGTAACCCTAAAAAAAATCCCTAGTATAATTTATCCAAACGTAGCACACACACCAAAAAAAAAAAAACTTTAGTGTATTTTTTCCAAATGTAACACTCTAATTAATATAATCTCAAACATAATACTACAATGTGCCATACTCTTAACGCAACACACATAAAAACACTAGAAACTCCTTAGTGTACTTTTTTTCAAACGTAACACTCACAGTTTGAAATTATACATTTGTCAAAAATTTACTAAGAAATTTTTGTACTCTTTTTAGAATGGTTTGAAGAATTTCACATCATTTTTTTGAAGTGTTACGTTTAGGAAAAGTACACTAGTAATTTTTTTTGTGTGTTACATAAGAGTGTTACGTTAAAGAGTTTGTTTAGAGTGTTATATTGGAGTGTCATGTTTGGAAAAAATATATTAAAATTTTTTTGGAGTGTTACACTAGAGTGTTATATTTGAGTGTTCCAGTTTAAAATTAAAAATTTGTCCAAAATTAATTAAGGTGTTTTTGTACTATTTTTCAAATATTTGAAGAATCTTACACCATTTTAGAATATTTGAAAAATCTTATATTTCAAATTATTTTTTAACTCATTTTAAAATGTTTTTCAAATAAAAAATATTATCATACAAAAATTCATCTGAAATTTGATTTCATAGATTGCGAACCTTATCTTTGTAGCACAAAAGAAAAAAGTGAAGAAACAATATAGAATTAAGGGTATAACTGTAAATTTATTTTTTAAATAATATATTAAATTTACTTTTTCAAAATCAATAGGATTATTTGGCCTATAAGAAAATTATTGAGATTATGTACATTTTCTTTTTAAAAATTCAAAACCAAACCCAAAAAACAAAAAAAATATTAATATTTATCAAATTCATTACTAATTTATAATAATTTTTAAAAATACAACTGAATTGATATTTTCCAAATTATACTCCAGTCTGTCCTGCGTGACGGACTAGTCCTAGTAGATATACAGAGATTCGCGCCAACTACGTTTCCCAAATTCCAACAAACTCAAACTCTCTCTCTCTCTCTCTCTCTCTCTCTCTCTCTCATCTTCTTCTTCTTACTGCTACTGCTACTGCTACTACTATATATCTAGGGTTTGGAGGTGCAATCAGTGATATCATTCATCAAGAAGACGACGAAGATGGACTCGACGATGAGATTGTTCTGTATTTCTGTTGTTGTGTTAGTCTTTTGTGTCTGTTCACTACCAAGATCGGCCGCGGAGACCGAGGCTTGCCGAAAGGTTTACCGCGAAGGCGGTGCAATGGCGGTGATTCGTTCTCCAGAATGTCCTCGTTGGGGTCACTCACTCTCATGGGGACGTTTGACTGACTCAACTACGGTGTATTGCTCAGAGGCCATTCTCGATGCTCTTGGGCGAGATTTCACTCACAATCACTTCTTTTGCGACGTTGATATTAGGTTTCCTCTTCGCCGTAAGTCTCTCCAAATTCAACTCTGATTTTTTGAATTTTTTTTTTGATCTTGTTTTTGTTGCTGAAATTTCTCAATTTTGTTTGTGTAGTTTATATTTTGGAAAGGAGAGGGCATAAATTTGTTGGAATCAAGTTCTAATTTAGATTGGTTTATATCTAAGCATCTGTTCTGTTTTGTTTAAATTTGTCAACAATCAAATGGAATTTATAATCTGAACTTTCGAGATAGCTCAGAATATTTGCAAATCAATTAGAAAAATACTAAACGATTCATATCCCTATTCGAGTAAAATAGTGTGTACTTGAGCACTTTGTTATTATAATATCACAATTTGCAAATCAATTTACGATTCATGCATATATCGATGCAAATCTATTGGTGAATCTATTTTGGAGTAGAATCTATGATAGATTTCACTGTTCACAATCAATTCATGATTTGATTTACTTTTTACAATTTATGCAATTATTGAAATCATTGTGTGTGACAGATTCCAACTATTTTTTACCTTTTTGATATTTGTAGTGAAAATAATACACGTGTTTATGTTTAATATGAAAATAACCAATAACTATAAATGTTTTGTTGTTGTTTTGGTGATCATAGTGATTTTAATAGGATTGAATCAGACCTACCATGTAATTAACATTTTTTCCTCAATAATTTTTGTGTAGTCATAATACATTTAGACACGTGCTTATGTTTAATATGAAAATAACCAATAATTTTTGCAACCGTTAAGACGCCCGCAACTGCTTTTCGAAACCTTGCTATGAAGGCGATGTCTTCCCAAATGGATGGTGTAATATTGTTCTTATATAAGAACTATTTTATGACACCTGTCAAAATAAATTTATTTCATTTTTATTCACATATATGATTGTTTAACATCTTTTTGTTGTAATTTGTATTGAATCTTAATGATTCTTGATTCGATTCGATTCACAAAATTTGGATTTTGATTAACGATACGATTCTTGATTTAGCAACTGCGCTTGAGTAACGAAAATAAAGAGAAGAAAAAAAGAAGAAGAGGTTATTGTAATGTAGTTTTAGCTTGTATAATGAAAATAAAATGGAGAAGGCTTGCTTATATGAAAGTTGGATGATTTTTAGTTTAGTTTATTGGAATTGTTTTGTATACACATACTTATGTTGTAAACATGGTATAAATAAGTTTGACTATTGTTGCAGGTCTCCAGAAAGAAGCTACATTGGGTATTGTAGCTATTTTTGATGGCCATTATAGCAATGAAGCTAGTGAGACGGCATGGAAGTATATTGAGGAATACTTCTTCCTACACACGTATTTTCTATTTGATAGGTATTGCATTCTATACTATTTACTTATACTTAACTTTTGAGATGAGCGGATAATTTGAGCGAGTAATGTTATAGATGAGTATGCTTTACTTTGAAAATTGGATGATGTATAGTGTGCTTTATTTTAAAAATTGGATGACATAGCATATTATGATATGTGGATTGATTGACAATCTGTGTTCAAAGTTGTTTCTTGTAAATATTACTTGTATTTGTGCTTTTTCTACTTGTTAATCTTTCGTATCTCATGTTCTATGCATGTATGAATAGGTTGAAAATATAATCTTGAATTTGCACCTCCAATATATCAAATGTATTTGTGCATTTTTTAATCTTTCATTTGTCCATATGAATTATTGATTGAGATGATGACATGTGCATGAGTGTTATGTGCATGTTTGTGTTGCATGCATATCCATGGTAGAAATTGTTGGAACTCAAGCATTCAATTTTCTTGTTATTTTTTGGTGAGTCCATTTTCTTTGTTGGAAATATTGAACTCTGTTTTCCCCCTTATGCGCACATGCAATTAATTTTATTTTTTCTTGAGACATCAAGGCACGTAATTATGTATACGTAATATATCTTATGGACTGAAGTATGAATATGTGATACATCTACTCATTGGAAGGAATAATAGGAAGAAGCGGGTGTGTGGCTTGTGTCCGTATGCACACTCATGCTCTACTTAGGAACTGACATTGTCTTTTATATGATGTAGTGTTTTTTAATTGTCACGTGTGTAGTATCTTTGCTCTTAAGTAAATACATGACCTTGTATTTAACTTGCACATGCTCACTATACTCGTTGATTGCAAAGCATATTTTTCATATACAAGTCTATAATATAATGCAGCAACTTTTTTCTTTGGTTGCATAATTGTTATAAGAATTACAAGTGTAGGTAACTTCATTGTTAATTCGTCAACAGGCTGGAGGGTGATAATTTTGATGGTTCCTACGTTAAAATGTTAAAGGAAGCATTGGTAAGAGCGATCCACGATATTAAGGTATGAAATACTTTGTTTCAATCCCTTTTTGTTTCATATATTACTTTTTTACTCCTCATTATTGATTTGAGGGTGTCAACTTTGTAAATCGCAGAATAGGTATACAGCAACCATCATAGTTATGGTAGACGATCACCTATTCCTATCCAGCCTCGATGGAAGTGCTGAGGTTGCTACCGGTAGCTGCAGTCGTTGGATGGCTGCTTCTCAATCTCAATCTCAATCTGTGTGTGAAGTATCTTCTAGAAGGTATGATGTAATTCTCAGCCTAGAAAAGCTATTATCGTCTTCTTGTATTCTTACTTTTAAGTACAGTTGGTTCCATTGAGACTAATTTAATGGGTTCGCCTGTTTTTTTTAATAAAATTCTTCTGTGACGTGAAACTTCGCCTGTTAAAATTTACCTACACCTACCACCACCTACTACCACACCTACTACACCTACCACCAATTTACCCTCACCTACTCCTCACCTACTACCCAAATCCTCTTCTATATAATAGGATCCTTGTAATATCAATAAAACAACAACATAAATCAATCAATAAATACATAAATGCTTACACTTCCTATAGTTATGACATTGCACTAACTTTGCACCATTGTTTAAGGAGATACCCTTCCCCCTCCCCCTCCCCTCTTTGTGGATAAGTGTGAGATCTTTATATGAAACGAAGAAAGAAACTAAGTGGGCATGCCTTTTTATATAGGGTACAATCACATATAATTTGTATGCAGGCTTTTCATCCATTAACATCAACAGATTCACGTTAAGGATTTACACATGAGAATAAGCTTTTATACCTCTATGGATCCTCCATCTTGAGCGGAGTCTCTCCTAATCTTGTACTTTCTCCCTTTGCCATATTTGGCATCTTCCAGTATTCCTTATTTTTTGGCCCTACCTTTGCTGCAAAACTTAATCCTTTTGCTTTATGTAACAGAGGGTCATGTTTAGCATTTTTGAGAATTTCATTTGAACTTTTACTGCTGACGGAGTTTGAATCCTACTAATTCACATGTACTAGCAAAACAATTCAAACCTGTACTGAAAAGTTCATTTAGAATTTAAGTGTGGAGTAGTTTTTGCTGAATTTCTCATAGCTGACAGGTGCTGTCACCCAATAAGCCCCATTTCTGGAGTTTTATCTTTGGTTGTCAGCTTCTCTATAATATCTAATCATTCAGTAAATACTGCTAGGGGTTTTAGGGATTTTCAGTACCATTTTCCGCCATATTACAGCAGGCCTCTTCTTTCTCATCGCTTTCCATGCAGAGCTTAAATTATGACCACCACGAGAATGTATATTATGTATTTACTTGGTCCAGTCTTCATATTTAGAAGAGCTGTCAATGTTCTTCCAAAGTAACTTCTCTCAACTCCAAAGTTACAGGAAATGGGGAGTTCCATCTGCCTTCCCTTAATCTCCACCACCATAGCATTTTTGCACTTTCTCCAACATCATTTCTAGGTCCGTATCTTTCAACTGTAGAGGCGGCAATTGTCCAAGTAAATAAGTACACATATATGTTTTTAAGTTCTTCCACTTGGATAAGTCATGTGACATTAATATATTGTTTTTTTTTTTTTCAACTTGAGCTTTCTAAAGCTATGTGCATATCTCGTCTCTCCTTTTCTTTTGGATGATAGAGACAATATCTTGTATTGATTGCTTCTTTATTCATATTAGGAACTGACCATAAGAAAAATCTAAACTTGCTTTCAATTTATTTTATTTCACTCTTGGATAAAATTAGATGGAGACCAGTACACTTGTTTGCTGAACAAAATTTGTTATAATGAGTTGAAGTCTGCCTGCATATTGTAGAAACATTGTTGTCTTGTTTTTTGTTCTCTTTTAAATTTTTGCTCCAGTTTTTAATTGTCCTCCTTGAATTTGATGGTTAGGGATTTTAAGTTTTAAGTTATCTCATGCATTGTTTTTGGTTATTGTCAGGTTAGATGGTGATGGATGGGGCTATTCACTGAAGAACCTTATCTAAAACATATCAGGTTTCACCGTTTGAGATTGGATTTGGCCTTTTTTTTTTTTCTGTAATTTTTTGTTTGCATTTTCTTTTAGATTGCACACTAAAGGCTAAGATTGGAATTGGTCCTTTTTTTTTTTTTTGATATGTGTTTTCTTTTAGATTTACAAGAATGCACTCATATCAGTGTTTTAAAAGGCGCGCTTAGGAGCGTGCCTAAGCGCAAGGCGCAATGAGACGCAGCCTTGCGCTTCGAACAGGTCGAGATGAGGCACAATACTCAAGGCGCAGCTTAGGAGCTGAGGTGAGGGCTTTTTTTCGAGGCACGAGGCGTCGGCTTTAACAATTTTTCTACTCAAACTATTAATTAAATTCTTTTTTTTTTTTTTTTTTGTGGGCATACCCACAGGGATTCAAAACTCTTAAATATAAAATGGCCAAACGTGGTCAAAAGAGAGCAGAAAGTGATAAAAGATTGAATGTTATGCTTTATATCTTTTGTTGGATATTATATTTCTAATTTTTAGAAGATTGAATGTTACATTTAAAGATTATCAGAAATAGTTATGATTATTGAAATTATATATATATATATATATATTTATTATGTTGAAAAGTTTGCCTATTTTATAATTTTGCTTTTCTTTCACTACTTGCGCTTCGCTTTGGTGAGGCGCGGGCCTCACCGCATGCCTCGTGCATAGGCTATAGGAGACCTTATCGCCTCAGTGTGCTTGGAGCCTTTTAAGACACTGACTCATATTTTTTGGTTAATTAGTATAATTTTATTAGAGATGAGGCACCGAGGAGCTATACTAAGGGAGTGTTTGATAATCTAATTCGTCAGTTAAAACTGAATGTATTAAGTGATAATCAATTAAGCTCGTTTGATAACTACAATTGATATCACTTAAAAATTTAAGTGCCTCCTAAATGTAAGGTAAAATTTAAGAAAATTTTAAGTCATAAGAAACTTACTTAATTTTAACTAAATTTATAAATACTAAACATAAGCATCAATGTACGTTTTTACTGTTACCACTACCACCACTATCGTGCCACCAACACCACAACCATCACCACCATTATGCCACCGCCACCAATACCAACACCACCACCATGCCACTGCCACCACTATCACCACTATCACCGTCATGCCACCACCACTACAACTACCACCACATTTACCACCATTGTTATTGTTGTCATAAGTACCACCATCATTTTACTACCATTACTATCGATATTGTCATGGCCACCAACACCATCAATGCCACTATCACCACAACCACAACCACTACCAACACCACTACCACCACCACTACCATACCATCACCACCACCGTCACAATATAAAAATTTTAAAAAATAAATTTTAAATTTGATCTTATATATATCAAATAATTTATTTTTAATTCAACAATTGAAATTTTATCAAATAGTTTTTTATCTTAAAAAATTCAGCATTCAGTTTTCAATACTTAATTTTTAGTTTTTGGCTTTATCGAACACGACCTAACTATATGTCAAAATCTACTCAAAAGTCTATAAAATCCAAAAATTGATTTGAGGATGAATTAATCATCCTAAAAAACCAACTATGCAAAAAAGAAAGTAATTTACTTTTAATACTCAAAATTGATTCTTCTTTGCCAACAAATGTGCTTATATTCCTTTCACCCCAACCTACCACATCAACACCAAAGGTACCTTAAAACCACGCCTTCTTTCCCTTTTTCCCTACATGAGCTCGCTCCAAGAGAAACTCCCCCACCATTGTATAGAACACCAATCGATGCCGAACCAACCTTTTCATGCCTACGTATGCGACACTGATTGACATGCACTTCTTTCCTTTTAGTAAAGTTGTCAATGGTGAGAATCTTCCTGTGTAGCATACCAGACAAAGAAAACCACCGTAGACAGGGCCTTAATAAGTTAGTACTCCAAACCCTTCTCTACCGGAAGATAGACACATTGCTCCCTACAAGAGTGGCATAGTGAAACTTCATACTGAACTGGCCGAATGAGGACTTCCACCATCACCAATATGGGATGAATAGAGATGACCAAGGAGATCCTATAGCTCCATAATGTTTGGAGCTTTAAGCTATTTTCGAAGCCCAAAATCCCAAAATACCTAATAATCAAATAACCGTAGGTAGTCACTGACTGATGCCTCTTTGTTACCAGCAATGCTAGCAATTTTAGGAAATAGACTCTTCAAACACTCATCTCCGCACGAGCAATAGCTCCAAAACCTAGTATGATCCCTACTCCCTATCACAAATTGAATATGCTCATAAAAAGTGTCTTATCTTACCCACTTCTGATTCCTTTCGATAGATCAATACTATAAGATAAAAGCCACCACCCTTCTCCAACATCTTTTCCTTTCACTAGAAAACCTCCATAATCATTTCCCCAACAAAGCTTGATTAAAAATGGCAAGTCCCGACCTCCCCTCCTTCAAGGATGAACGTACAGTGTCCCAATCCATGAAATGATATTTAACTCCTTTTCAATCCCTTCCCACCAGAAGTCACACACACTGCAGCTTTTCCAATTGTTTCCCAACTGAAACAAGAATAACGAACAAAGATGTGAAATAAGTAAGAGGCTACATAAAATGCTCCTCTGTCTTAATCATAGTCAACCTCGCTCCTTTGAACAAACACCCTTTCCTACCCTGTGGCTGTCAATCGCCTCTGGAACCTCTGCACCATCGACTTCTAGACCGACTTTACCTTGAATGAACTACAAGAGGAAGACCCAAATACAAGAAGATACCTTAAAATGATTATTTGGGAAGATACCATCCTGTTACTGTTACACGGTCACTTATCCCAAAAGCTAGCTATTGAGGTGAAGATGCCCTCACGCTTATATGCTTAATATTACTTTAGTACTCAGGCGATGTGGGATTTCGCTTCACAGTTATGTCTCATTATTTTCTGACTATAGTTTTATAGCCATTAAACAGTAGATATTGTTATGTTTAAGGCCTCGTTTGGGAACAGGTTTTTTAGTACCTTTTTGGTTTTTGGCTAAAATGTGATGTAAAAAAAACTAGTATGTTTGGGATGACTTTTTGGCTTTTTATGAAAAGATGTGTGAAAAGTAGAGAGAAAAGGGAATCTTTGACTTTTTGGTATGGGTTGTTGGCTTTTTGGTTTTTTTAGTAACTTTTTGACTTTTTGGCTAAAAGGGGCACTTGCCAAACGAGGCCTAAGTCAAGGATTTTGTTACTGTTTTCTAGCTAATGTAGTAAATTCTTAACATTTTAAAGATTCTCTGCGAAATAATATTTCTTGTGATCTTGTTTCTTACCTTGCTACGCATTGTTAGTGATGACCTTTATTTTGCAACTTTATTCAGCTAATACCATCAGCCATCTCATCATGCAAGCACTAGGGCATGTTTCTCTGGTAATGCACAACAACTTATCGTGCCTTACAGTTTTATGCCTTAAACTAGTTTTTTTGCTTGCACGGTGTAGTTTGATCATTAATGTGACTGTTAAGCGTGCACTGGTCTGCGTATGTTATAAGGGGCCAACCCAGCAACCTCAAATGTTCACTGCAAAAAAATACTTGAACCAGGAGTTTGGCCTTTTGCCCATCTGAGTAGATGTTTAATGTATCCTGACAATTGCTGCCTTATCTCCCTTATGAACTTTTATTCTGTTTCCAGAGATTGGATTTATGTAAGCTCTGAAGTTTACGGCGAGCTGAATGTTCAAAATGAAGTTAATGTTCATTTTATTAGACCAGATATCAGAAGTGGAAAGAAGTGACGTCAATCCAGTTTTCTATTTGTTTCCGGAAAGTGTAGTGTTTGTTTTCATTTGGTTTCTTATCTTCTCCCTGGGGTATAAAAATGTTTACCAATTATTTATACAAAAAAAGAAAAAAAGAAAAGAAAAAGAAGTAGGTTTTCCACACTCTACTCCTTTAGAAGTTGTAAGCTCAGGTCTATTGAACTTAGTGGGGCAATACAGGTCTTGGTTTGTTTCTTCACATTCAATATTAATTGATGTAGAACGTGCGCACACTAATTTTTGGCATGGAGATTTTATTTACCATTTTATAATTTTATTTATGTCTTTAATATATGTATATATATATATATATATATATTTATTATAGTTTAAATAGAAGTTTTATTAATATTTTGTCCTGTTTAATTAGGGATTCTAGTTTGCTTTTTTATTAGGGTTTAGTTTCTTATTTTAATTAGGGCTAGTGGCCTATATAATATTAGGTTTTGCATTGTATTATTAAGAGTTTGATTATTAAAATTGAGAGTTTAAAGTTTTGGCCTTGTGTGATTAGTGCTATGGCCTTGTGTTTGTCCTCTCCCCCCTTTCTCTCTTTTATTCTCCCTCCCCGTTCTACATCACCATTTTGGACATGAAATTCTGATGTAACTATTTCTAGAACTAATATGAAACATTACGTTGTGTGCATCTTAAATTACATCATTGGTTCTCTTATATTGAAGGAGGGGGCCATTGGTTTAGTGGTTAAACCTTTGGCCAGCTAACCATGAAATCATGGGTTTGAACCTAAGGCCAGCTACTTTGTGCAAATTTATGCCAAAAGTTCGGTCTGTACCCAATTTATCCCTCCTAGACCCCATCAAATGGGGACTGTGTAGTTATTCAGTTAGTTCTCTTACATGGAACATTATATATAAAATGTTGGTGGATATACAAGGTAAAATTTGTCCTTTATAAGCAGGAGTTTTTGCCTCAATATTTACGAAGCTAAAGCTATTACTTTACATTTAAGAAGTTATTAATGTCTCTAAATATATTGGTTAAAAATTTAGAGGGCTTTTGTCGCACCCCAAATCCGGGTATGACCGGCCGTGGCCCACAGTGACTCAACCCAAGGCACACGTAAACCTAACCACTAATCCACAATCACATCGAGCAACTATACAAAAGTCCAGTAATAAATAACCAAACTCAATCTTGTGACATGCCACAAATATAAACGGAAAAATCAACTGTAATCAAAACCATCCAAACTTATGGGATATAAACAACCCACATATCAAAATAATCCTAAATGAACCTCAATAAAAATAAAAAGAAATATGCACAAATTTGACATAACAATCTAAAACAAAATAAATGAATGTCCTAGAGGTCCATGCAATCGAGTCCCCGCTATGCCATGAGTTCACTCTAAGTCCTTCTAACACCTGGAAGTGATAAAAATTAAGTCAGCTGATAGCTCAGTGAGTAGCAACATGAATAGTAAATACAGTTTTGAAAATAGGGTTCAATTCCAAAATAAGATATATATATCACAGAAACTAGATTGGCATACAGTTTGGTAAATACAATCTGTTTCAAAAATAAGGTTCCACAATTCAACTCTTAAAATACTCATGTCTTGCAAGAACATGATAAACGACATTTTCCACTTAAAACAGATTATAACATGAACACCAATAATTTTCTGGGTACCAAGAAAAACAAATAATATGCCACACAGTTCTCAAGGTTATAAGCCCCGTTGGATCCAATACCGAACTAAGAGTCATTTTCAGGGTGGCAACCTGGGCCTTTTCTCAAAGACGATCTGATTGAAGGTCACCTAACTTTTTTTAAAGGTCTTTTCCTTACAATCGTTGAGCACTAGAGTCATCACGGCCCAATCCGGATCTGTTCCCTAGTGGCCAGAGTCACCACACACAGTGGAATAATTTCCCTGGACTAAATACACACATGGTCCCAATAATCAATACACATAAGTTTCGCAAAACATGGTAGTTCATCATTATAAACATGAGACCAAAACAAATAGTTTACAGTATGCAAAGTTCACACATGTTTCAGAAATAATTTGATTCCATTGATAATATAATAATTTATCAAAACAGTTTAGTCTTAAAACAACAATTTAATTTTCCAACAGTTCAGGGTAGGGGAACATTTATAAAATACGTAGCATGAAACTACTTACCTGGAAACGAAATAATATAATCCTCGAATAGAGTATGGAAGTCCAACTAGTGCCCTGAACCAATATAAAAACTACACGTCACAACTAATTTAAAAATACTAAAAAAAATAGAAACTAAGTAACCTCAACTAAAGCGCACTAACACGGCTCAACCCAACTCACCGTTACTCTTAAATATTACCTAAGTTTATGTTCTTCAAGGTTTAAAATCACCCAAGACATGGGTTCCGGTCAAAACTTAATTAATTGTAACTTTAAGATAAAACAGAATTTCAAACAAGCCTTCCCAACCTATTCGCTAACTTTGAAAATTACAAAACCCACTCCACGCTGTTCGAAAAATTCCAACAACCTCCAGATATGATCTAATATATCCTAAGTTTGAAACCCAATTGGTTTCACTTGATTTGCTTATCAAAATAATTATTTACAATTTATTATATCCAAACAGGTTGTTTTCTGCAGCACTTTAAAGAAATTGACGGTTCTCTTAATATACACGAGCAATCAATGCAAGGCCAAAAACGTACAAAACTAGACTCGTAACCGGTTCTAATGACACTAATTTGATAATTTTTGGATTTATACCTAAAGGGCATGTTTGATTGGGTGGATTAGAGCATGGGATTAGGATTATTAATCCGTGGGTCCAATTATCCTATGTTTGTTTTAACATTTTGGTTTAGGATTATTAATCCAATGGATAATTAATCCAACAAATTTGTAGGATTATTAGTAATGGGGTAGGGGTGGGATTATTAATCCAATGGATATTAATCTAATTGGATAGTGAATACCACACTAATTTAATAGGATTATTAATACTTCACTATTAATCTTGTGAATCAAACATGACCAAAGAGAACAACACTCCCGAATTTACTGTTTCGGACTGGTTTCCTGGACAGATTTGAATGCCTCAATTTATATGGATTTTGACTCTCAAAAATTATGAAAAAGTTCAGATATGCAATTCAATATGTAATTGATCTACTGTAAAAATTTCAGTTCAAAATTCATCCGTTTGATATGGTTTCTTGATTTTTAAAGTTCGTGATTATGCGCAGAATTTTTTAACTAAGAATAATACCCATTCTTTATACATGAATTTAACTCCTCAAATTTCTTAACAGTATATATATATATACAAAATATATAAACTTACAACCTCTCCATGAATGAATAAAATAATTATAGAATAAGGATGAAGAACAAAGAAAGAAGAGAAGAAAACCTAGAAGGGCTAACCTTTGATGATCACACACAACACAACACACCCAAAAGTTCTTTGATTGCAACATCTTTTTTTTCCTTCTCTCAAACCCTCTCCCGTGGCTGCTGTGTTGTTGCCCTATGTGGTGAACAAATAATAGAGTAGGGTTTGTGTTTATTTTATTTTATTTTATACTAGTGGTGGGCACACATAGGTCAAATAAATAGATAAATATACAAAACATATGTATAAGTTATATGCAACTCAAATGGTAAGAGTCTGATATATTAACCTTGTGGTTTAGAGTTCAAGTTAAACCTTGCCTCTAAATTAAAGACTTTCACCATAAATTTATTTTAGGTTTAAAAATTAATTAAAAGATCCTCCAATAATATTTAATTTGCACCTTAGAATTCACCACCAAAATATTTGAGATTGTAATATTATTATTTAATTATTTACTTAATTTTTATATTTGGGTTCTCACAGCTTTTAGTTAATTGGACAGTCTGATCCTTTTGGAAGCTAAATAAGGCTTCAGATGAGGTTCACTCTTCATGAAATTTTATTCCAAACTTTTGTTTCTACCTAAAGCTGTTAAACTGCAGGGGAATATTGGATGAATATGGAATGCATAACTAATTCAAAATTTTGTTCAGTGACCACTAATCAAATTTAAGTAGATTTGTCTAAAATGACTGTTACATGACTGCAAATCTCAGTTTATTATTTTTCATCTGTTACCATTGAAGAAATGACCTTTTAAAAAAGCGTAATGTAAGATTGATGGACCTTAATTTCTTTTTAGTCTTTCCAACTAAACTAGGACCTTTTGTGGTCTGAGAAATCATACTAGAGCAGAGAAAAACTTCTAGTCCCACTCCTGAGATAATGTTAGTCATTCAAGCCTGATACTTGTGTTACTTTGTCTGTAGTTTGGGGCATGATGACTGACCTTTAAGAAGTGAAAAATGAGAAATTTCATAGCTGTTCACTGAAAACCCGTTGACACAAGTTGTTATTCTTATTATTTTTAATATACGTAACACCTGTGGTAGCATTATTGTTCTCCTTTCCACCTCGTAAAAAAAACAAAGGAAAAAAAAAATAGGTATCTTTAGCGTCTGATGCTGTTTACTCAATCCAAGGAAAATAATGTTAGCTCTTTCATCCTATTCTTTGCTTGTTTTTTCTGAGATTATAATAACTAAATTATCACTAAATTCTGATGGTACATGATTCAGCAACCCCACCCCCACCCCCCACCCCCCGGTGATAGCAGTCTTGAAACTTCAATACAAGATGTGTTAAATTACCTATGTGAACTTCCATTCTGTCGTTTCCTTTTATGTTGTTAGTTAATATCATAAATTTTGATGAAAGATAAAGGATTTTAAAGTTTCAGTTTGACTGAATATTAAAGATGAAGGGGCTTTATTTATTTTCAGGCACAAAAAGTAAGCCAGAAAGATGTTAAAGATGATTAGCTGACCTGCAGCAGGCTCCACGGTATGGCCTGTCTCAATGCCAATGTGAGTATAATTGCTCCACTCACAGGAGTTCTGAATGTTATTCCTTATTTGTTTGGGGGTGGATTCTTTATCTTTTTCTATTCTATGATGTCTTCCATTTAAGAGTATAGTTGTATGTATTTTATAAGTGTCTGAATTTTGGATTTTATGTCAACTCTTCAAGTTTGCTTGTGAACTTGTAGATTTGAATTGAACAGATTTGTATTTAAAAGGATAGAAGCCTGTGGCTTGCACCATTTTGGGGTTGCTTCTTTCACAGATGTTCAAAGGGACTTCTGGGCTTGAAAGGAGTTCAGTTTAGTAATTGATCAAGATCCAAGAGGTTCAAACCATTTTGAGATTTCTTTCAACAGTGATGCCAATGGTCTTTTAATTCTGAAGAAAGATTGAAAGGAGCATTGGTAAGGTTGAAAATTTCACTTTTATCTTGTCTGAGTAAAAAACAGGTTGAAGATTTGGTTATGAAGGTGAAAGAATGCTGACTGATGCAGGGAAACCTACTGAATTTTCAGAATAGAGGCTATTTGACAGCATAAACAGTGAGTAATTTAAGGTTGTAATGGTTAAATAAGGCCATAATAGGTAGGAGAAGGGATTAGGGTTGATTTGGGGTGATAGGAAGAGGTTTTGGGGCCGAAATGTGTACTATCAGAGGGATGTGAATAGTAACCTAAGAATAGTAACTGGGGCATGTGCACAAAGAAGAAAGAGAAGAAGGAGAAGTAGTGAGCTGTGAATAGTAACCCGCGAATAATAACTTGGGTATGTGAGCAAATAATGAGAAAGAGAAGAAGTAGAAGAAGAGAGGAAAGAGGTGCTTCACCCTCGCAAGGGTTAGGGCAATCACATGCAAACACAATTTCTAATATTAACTCTTCATCAAGTCTTTGAGATAACATATATATATATAGGCTAAAGACTCACCTAATTCTACAAGAACTTGGACCCAAATTTAGTAACTAAGAATATTTGGTAACTACTAATAGTCTAGACCAACTAGGACTCCATGTAAAATTCAAATAACGTTACTTGACCCGCAAGAGAACCCATGGACTATGACTAATACTCGGGTAATTTTTATTCGGATGCCATAGAAAATCTCTATACACTCCACTTGTGTCATATGGGTATAAATTTGCAAACAAAAATAAAATATTCAGCCATATACTTACGAATGTAAATGAATTGATGAAATATATATTCTATTCAATAGTTTATATTAGAAAAATTGTTTTTTGTTCGGAAGTTTATGCTTGAACATTTGACTTTTGTTCGGAAGTTTATATCGGAACATAATAAATGATGTGCAAGAGATTTTATGTGGTGTGTGGATAGAATTTTACCTTACTAATGTCCAGCAATTATTGAAAGTACTGTGATATTTCCAAGTACTTGAACCTAAAATGATGACATAAATTTTCCATGAGCATACTAATTTAAAATAAACACAATTAAAGACTCAAAATTATTCCAAAACTTCAATCTATGATGCCCTAAATGTGCTTCATGCGAAATTCTAGATTTGTCCTTTTTTCTTCTTTCCATGCTCACCATCACTGCTGTTAATAAAAAGGTGGAAGAAAAGAGCACTGATTGTGATTTCGTGGATCTTGTAAGGTTAAGGTAAAAATGGGGATGGAAACATCTTGTAGAATGGAAAAAGAGTTGAATAGGCTCCAAGTTTTGTTACTTATGGTGGATAGAAGGGGAGTGGGACTTTAGTGGGTGGGACAGCGTGAGGATAAGGATATGGTTGGGGGTTTGGTTCAGCATTCCCGTTCAGGAGGTTTGATTTTACCTAAGAAACCTGTTAGTGCTTACTCTGTTTCACGGAAAAATTTAGAAGAAATTTCATGGAGCATCTGAAAATTACATCTGTTTGTAAAGCTGGTAGTGATAAATGAAAATCTATGTATAATGATGAAAAAGCTGCTTATGTGAAGTTGGCATAATATTTAGATTTATTTCAGTTCTTGGGGGATGGTTTTTATATTTTGTATTAAGATTGTCATTGCCTATCTTTTGTATTTTTTTTCTTCTTTCTTTTTCCTTTCATCCGATTGTATAAGGCTTTTTCCCCTTGGCACTTGCTCCAACACTGAAGCAGTTGGGTTCTGCTGAGCTTTGACCATTGCAGGTGTTGGTGAATGGAGATTGACTGAGAATTCTTCTTGAACTTGATCAATAAGGCGTTGGGGTTTAAAATTATCCCACCATTTGACAAAGTGTTGGCGAATAACCAAGTTATTAGAAATAACATATTGTCATTTAAATATCTATGAGACTTTGTATTTGGATATAAAAATGAGTAACTAGGGAAATTGTTTTTGTTGTTGACTGAGTTTAAAAACAGAAGAGAAATAATTTACTTGTTCAATTAAAACATAGGGGAAGATCTCATGAATAGCACCATGCTGAGTCCACCATCGAAGAAACTAAGTGGGAAATTCTGACTTGAATTTGTGGTCAAATTGGAGAAACCAGGAGTGACTGCATGACTTATTTTAATTGACCTAGAAAAATGACACATTTCATCACTTTGAGTATGAAATGTTCCATATTCCTTGTGTTCAAATTAACGTCTGATTTAAACACATGCAATGTAACACATATAATGCTTAGCTTGCACACTTTTACTTGCCAATTTTTGTTTGCTTATTTTAATTACCAAACCATTCATTAATCCATTTGTCCATTGGTGAGTGTCCTCTAATGGAAAGAGGGCTCAAACCACAAGTTGTTTTGGGTATGAAAGAGGCATTACACTATTGGTAATGAACCTCCCTAAGGAATTAAACCATTAGGTGTAGCACCTCTATTTCACACTTAGGCAAACAAGTGGTTTGAAACCATTTTCAAAGTAAAACCAAAAAAGTGAAGAAATGAGAGAGATTGCAGAGATTATAAGTACTGAAAATGAGTGATAAAAGCACTAAAGCATGTAACCAACTCAAACCAATGATAGTTAAAGCCTTAAAACACTAAGCTAGTGAAGGAATTAACACTACAACCATGTCATACAAGGCTCAAATGAAACAAATAACCAAAAACATAGGCAAAACAGCCCTAAATATGGTCTAAAACATGCTGGACTTAAATCACAAAAAGTTAAAACAATAAGCTAATACATGGAGTTAACTAGGCATGCAAACATAACACATGGAGGGGAGGTTAACCCCTCTAATTTTAGACTTTAAAATAAGTTTTTTACCACTGAAAAACCTCTGAAATTCAGTGGTTAAAAGGCCTAAAAAAATTGATTTGAAAGTGATGAACAAAGGCACAAAAAACTTTATAAGCAAAGAAGCAAGAATGGTGAACCACCTCTAACTAAAAAAGGGGTCAAACCACTACTTTTAAGTCACAAAAACAGAGCTTCTTATAGTTCAAAACCAGACCAAAAGCAATTGAAATAGATGGCAAAACAAGTTTTTTGAAACAAAGCAAACAAGACAAGTTTTGTACCTTTGAAGTAAAGCTCAATTTTAGGCACCAAATCAAGCAAAAACCACTTGCTAGAGCTCAAACAAAGTCTCAAAGAAACTCAGCTCAAAGGTAAGGAGATTTGGTTTAGGAGGTATAGGCAAAAGCTAAGGATTTGTGAGTAAATGTATACAAAATTGCACAAGAGAGAGAAATCTAGAGAGAGGGAGAATTTTGTTCCAAAATTGCTAACCTCCCAAAATGGGGGAGGAACCCCCCTATTTATAGAAAACCACTCTTTGAGCTTTGAAACATCCCATCATACACGTGTACATGTGTAGGGAGATGCAGTTCAATGTGCTAACAGCTGGCACAACTGTCAACAAATATTTGGAAAAAGGCACTGGTGGCCGGCCACACCCTTGGCCGACAACCATTATCCATGGCCGACAGGTTACCAAAAGTTCCAGACAAGAAAAAAATAAGGTTTTGGTCCAAAACAAGGCACAAAACAGATAAGGTTTCAAAGTTCAAAGGCAGGGCACTCCGTCGAGAACTTTGAGCACTCGAAACGAACACATGCAATCATAATCATCGAGTGCACAAACGATTACGTCCGAGTCTTGAGGATAGTAAAAAATGGGGTGTCTACACCCCCTCAGTCAATGAATCAGATTTTTTTAATTTAATTTTTAATTTTCTTTCTTTCTTTTGCTCACTCATTGGCGGCTTTCACGCTCAAGAGTTTGGAAACCAAACCAGAGAACCATGGATACAATAAAGATAGCCTGGTTGGTGACTTTGATTTAGCATTTTTCTCATGCCTTGACTACAAAGAACTAAGGGGGAAGCCGTGGAGATGCAAAAAGATAGAAGGTGGTTAAGAGATTCAACATCACCCATGATATGCTAGTATAGGTTAATTCATCCAGAAATGCAAAAGACACAATGCTAGAAGCAATGATGGATCTAGGGGGGGCTAGGGATGTCACGCCCCACTTTTTATTACTCAGAATTTATGACCAAAGCCATTAACAATGGACTCAATTTCAGAGTTAGCTTACAGAAGCTCATTATAATGATAAGAAATACAACAATAAGGGTTCTCTCATACAGACAATAAAATGAATGCAACAAGAATTATATTTAAATAAATTGCCCGCAAGCTTACATCTTCCAAGGCAATAGCCCGGTTACACAAAATGGTATCTCAGACCCATACACGTTTAGCTCTTGGCTTACAAAGTTCACAACAAAAATAAGAGAGTTGTCTACTCTTCACAAAAGAAATATCCACGCCCTCAGTTTGGCGGGATCACCACATCTTTACCTGCACCAAATCCCATAGGGGTGAGCATAACGCCAAGTAGAGAATTCTAACAAAGTATATACAATTATGCAACTCTTAATAAAAATGCATATGCCCATGCCATGCCACGCTCTTTTTAAAGAACATTCTTTTCATGCTATTTCCATATTTGTTTTCAACTCAAACTTACATTCATAACACATTTCAAAACTTCCAATTTTAATCAATAGGGGCAGTAAATACGACACTGGTAATCCCTAGGTTGGTGTCTGTAAGTAGGCTCAACAAGTATTACCAAACTGTCATTTTTACCGGTATTAATCGGAAGGTTCGACATCTATCCGCGCGGTTTTCTGGTATTTTACCATGGACACTCATGCCAACTTATCAAAGTTATCTACATCACCTAACTGGACTTACCAACGTGTTTATCCCTTTCACATTTCCGTAGTTCTTATTACAATACATTTCCCATTCATGAAGTAAATGATTTCAATCTACATACACCATGCATGATAGTAAATCAAATGAATATACAATGCAACCATTTCTCCATGTCTCATGGAAAATTCTCAAGTCATTCCAACAACATTACCAAACAATTCCATTCACCATTTACATGTTTTTTTTTTTTTCCCTTATCCAATAGTCAAGAGTTTATTAACATTTGACCATATGCAACTATAAGACGACAATCCATGCTCTTTCAACTTTTACTTCCATTTAAGCCAATGCAACATGTAGATGCTAATTTCTACTCTCAAAATCTTTTGTAGTATAAGATGTTTCTTTATCAATAAAAATGGTCACATCTATGTGTAAATGTAGACATTCATACCCATCTAACATTTCATGCACATTAATAATAATATATCAAATGAGAATGCGACGCAATAATTAATATTTCATAACATTTCTTCATTTTCAAATATCTCTACGATAGTGCCAATAATCACAATTCTTGTTTTCTTTCTTCATTGTTCTTTCACAAG